CCGCTCTTGTCTTTTTATCTTGCGACCAGCTGCACTGGGATTTTGACATGTTCCTCCGCACACGGGTTGACACCACCCCTACGGTGCTTCCGTGGCATACGATGCGCAACTACTTCTTGGGCTTCGTCGGCTTCATGTTCTTCATGTTTGGCCTCGGGGCGATGTATCCGTCGTATCAGCCTGTGGTGAGTCAAGCTAGTCTTTGGTATGAATTTCAGGGACGGTTGTGGCGCGCCAGAGAGTCCACCTTGGCTCTAGCGATCATCTCCAAGAGCCTGTGTAGTCCAAGAAGTCCGTTATATTTGTGTCCCACGCTTCATCCGAGGAGGCTGGGGTGGCAGACATAAGAACATAAGAGAGGCCAATGTGGGATCAGGCCAAAGGCCCATCCCGTCCAACACTCTGTGTCACACAGTGGCCAGAAATACCAGGGGCCATCAGGAGGTCCACCAGTGGGGCCAGGACACTAGGAGCCCCCCCACTGTTGCCCCCCCAAGCACCAAGATGACAGAGCATCACTTGCCCCAGAGTCCCTATCTATACCTTGTGGCTCATAGCCACTGATGGACCTCTGCTCCACATGCTTATCTAATTCCCTTTTGAAGCCGTCCTGCTTGTAGCTGCACCCACTTCCTGTGGCAGTGAATTCCAAGTGTTCATCACTCTTTGGGTGAAGAAGGACTTCCTTTTATCCGTTCTAAGACACAGTTTCTTCTCCCCCCGAGAGTGAGAGCGAGCATGGCTGGTCCCAGGTCACCCTTGCAGAGTGGGGACGGGAGCCCGGCTTCCCCCAGGCCTCATGATAATAGCCGTGCCCTTGAGTAGCGACCCACCCCTGGGGACGCCAGGCCCAAGAGCGGAGCGGAGGTGGTTGGCCGTGGCCTGGCTCTGCAGGGCAGCCCTGGGTTTCCTTCCTGGACGGCCTCCTGCCCAAGCACGGACCAGGGCCAGCCCTGCTTAGCTTTCTAGCCTTTGACGACATCAGGCTACCCTAGGCTGTTAGGGCTGCTTTCCCCAGGCCTAGTCCAGCAACAACCATCCTGTGACATTTTTTTTGTACATGCGGATAGATTCGGGG